TTTTTTTCATTCCTATTTATAAAACATACCTGGTTGCAAAACAAGCATGTGCTATTGTTTGAGAAAAAATGACGTTATGGGTATAAAATCGACAAACATAAATAGTAGATTCGAAAAAGAAAATTTTTGTAGGTTTCTTCCAACATAATTTACCATTAGAACAAAAAATAATTCAGTGTGAGTTTTCTCTCGGCAGTACATTCAATGTTTGACAGCAAATCAGATTCCCAGGAAAGTGTGGGTGTGGGTGTGGGTGAATGAGTAACCTATTGGTACACAAATGTGTCTACATTGAAGAAACCCTTCTTTTAGTTTGAGTAATTTGCTAGTTGGCATATTCTCTTTCCTTTAACTGAAATTAAACTTCGAATAAAAAACAAGCATTTGCTTCATTTAGCATTATTGGTCAACTTTAATCAGTCATATAGTCAATAATTATATTTTAGATAATTAGTCAATGACACCAACTAGGTTAGACCTCACATGAGATGGCTTTCAAGGCCATTTCATTGACTACCAAGTCAAATGCTAACCATCTGAGTTGGTGGGTAGGTATAAGTACGTTTAGAGAAGAAAAAGTACACTCGGACTGAATCCATTTATATCATGACTCAATGACAAAACAGTTTCATACATAAAAAATATCTTCAATAATAGAATTCATATGTGAGATCTGACACTAGTACTTATACTGTAAAGTTATTACCTTAATCGGACACTTACGCACTTTCAATTATCGACACATCCAAAAATTTTTCTCGAAACTCATAAAACGTTTCGCTTTAAAGAAAGTAAAACGAGGCATTGATGCATAGTTGCTTTGAAGAAAAGAAAAAATAATTCTTTTTTCGCTTTTTTCGTATTTAGTATAATTTCTGTTTCAGTTCTGCTGCTTTCGACAATGTCTGCCAGCCAATGTATATTATTTTATCTTATGAAATTATTTTCATTTTTATTTCAACTCTAAAGATTGACTCCTTTTCTATGAATCATAATAGAAATAGATGTGAGCAGCAATCCATGGTAATACGATCATCCAAGTATTTGTAAGAAACCTATTCATACGTTAAAAGAATTAAATAAAATAAACCCCTCCCCATAATAGAAGCCCCTCCCATATTACAAGCCTCCCCTTATTAGAAGCCCCCTCCAGAAGCTATAACGTGAAAGATGTATAAGAAGCCCCCCCATTTTAAAAAATTTTTTGCAAAATTTCTAATGGTATTTTCATCGTACAACTTTCAAAATTCAAGATCTTAAGATAAAAATTTGTTTGGTTTTCTTATTTACTAGCATAACAAATTTAAAATCTCCTAGAAAGTCGTTGCAACCACTCTTAAAACCATAAAAATCCCTGAGGCTCTTTGAAAATTTTTTTCATATAATAATAATAATGATTTTACAGCAGTATATGACATTATTGTTTAAATTTGATAGAAAGAAACAGAAGTTTCTTTTTTCAAATTTTTGCATAATTTTATTTAATATCGATATTTCGAAGAATAAATATTCATTATCAAGATATAAAATGAAATTGTTATGAAAATAGAAAATTTTACATCGAACTAAATAAGAACAAAGAGATGTTTAGAACCAACAGAAATGAATTCTAAACACATCTATAAAATATGGAAAGAGATAAATAAAAGCTGTTGTTTATCTCTCTATATTTTATAGAGATGTTTATAAGACCTTGTACGCATTACACGACGAAGAATTAATTCAAATTGAATTAAGCAACATGATTGGTGTTTCGACGAAGCAACCCCAATCATATTTTTTAATTCACTTTTAATCCGGCTAGTCTGTTTGATCCATAATTCATTTCTATTCGTCATAAACGTCTCTCTCTTTCTTTTCTTTGTTCTTATTTTGTTACATGCAAAGTTTTCTATTATTGTAATAATTTCATTTTATATCTCGATAATGAAAATTTATTCTTCGAAATATCGATATGAAATAAAATAAAACAAATTTGAAAAAAGAAACTTCTGTTTCTTTCTATTAAATTTAAATAATAATGTTATAGGCTCCTGTAAAATCATTATAATTTTTTTCAAAATTATTGCTCATAAATACACAAAATTTTTCATCTAAAACTGTTGAAAAATTTGAGGACGTAATAGAAGCCCCCTCCGAAAATTTTGGATGGTGGACAGTTTAGAAGCCCCCGGGGGCTTCTAAACTGGGGAGGGGTTTAGTTTTAAACTACCTTTCTTTCTTTGTGTAAATCATCAATATTCATATTACCTACTTTTTAACAACTGTGACGCAATTACACATAATAACAAAAAACAATCCCAGTTACGTGTAACTGCAGTTGTGTGTTTATATACATTGCAATAATGGTTGCTACAGGCTATGCTACGTCCGAATCTCCTGATTTTTTTCCCGTTTATTAAATGAAACACTGCATAGTATGCGAAACATAATGTGTTACCATATAAACCTATTCTCATGTTTTTAATACTACTCATTATAAATAATATTATGTGTAGATAAACATCATAAGATATCGTTCACTTGAATATCAAAAATTGCAATAAAAGCTATTCGAAAAACCTATATACCCATTCAAACAACTCATGTTCTATACTTATGACATCTATAGTATTGATATTCGGTTTAAAATGATTGTCTCAAATCGAAAGTTCCTATGTAAATAAAATTTTTCATTAAAGGGTTTCTACAATTTTTTTCATCCATTAGAAATTGAATTAAGACTCAGATACTACTGCATTCGTACACAATCATGCATGAACTACTAAAACATAAGCATTTCAATCAAAATTCATCTTTTTGCTGCTTCTGTATCAATGTTCCTTTACAGGAATATAGATAATGTAGATGCTAAAAATTACCAAGTAAGGGCGTGGGTGTAAGTTCTGATTTATATTCACATCCACACTCACAAGAATAGGATTTTCAAAGAAATAGAGAAATATTGTCTACGCTCTATTCTAGAGAATATTTCGTCTACACTGAATTGAAAGAATATAAAAGTCTTGCGGTAGATGAAATAGAATTTAGCTAAAGCATTGAACATACACCTTACAATAGTTAACTTTGATGGTTTCACTAGCCATTGAAGCTACGAAACTTTTAAACCATTATGAAAATCAAGCATTTTTCACTCAATGGAATCACTTTCTCAATCTACTTGTTCCTTGGATGTTTCAAATGGTGAAAAAGGAATACATGAAAAGTTAAACATGAAATTAATATTGTTTTAAAGTGAGCATCGTTAAAAAAAAGACTTGTCTTAACAGCACAATAAAAGAAATAGTCAATGCTTTTATTTAAACACAAGCGAAGAATCTTGTATAAATGCGCAAAGGATTGTAGATATAGTGAGAATATTTGTTAGTAGATATCTATATTTCTGGTAATATTTTTGGTCGTGGGTCCATTCCTGGAAATCTATCTTCTGTTTGAGGATGTGTTGACTGAACTTTTGTTGATGGAGGGCTTGGTGGTTCTTGACCACGTAAAGTATACAGATTGTACAGTGGTAATACCAATAGTATGGATGGGTGAGAGTGACTGTGGATGTTCTCTTTATGCATCCACTCCTACATACACCCTCTGATCCTTGCTCACACTCATATCCTACACCCAGCCACACCCACACCCCACACCCAGCCACACCCACACCCCACACCCCACACCCCACACCCACACCCACAGCATAAGAACTCTTTTCAGAATTATAATGCTTTAGAATGTGCGTGCTGTTGGAGTAGATTTACATTTGATCCATTTTTACGTTTTCTTTTATTGATTTTGCATGCGTCGGATATCTCTGTAATGGTTAAATATATCAACAAATTGTCGTGACATTAAGTAGAGAACGATGAGATGAATGATTTTATTTAATATGAGATGAACAAGAGAGTAAAAACTAACTCAAATCAAAACTAAAACACTGGGTTTGGTAAGTTTTTTTTGGTTGACTATAATGCACATTTAAACCATATTGTCAAATATCTAATTTTCAAATTCTACTACATCACATCCGTACGACAATTGACCAGAGACAGAAAACTATTGTTGCATTATTAATTTCATTTTTCTTTATTGTCCGCTTATGAAACTTCGATGAGAACATATAGTATTATTTTTATTACACTTGCTTTGCTTGCACACAGTCAAAGTTCTGTGTTGCTGTACGAAACGGATAATAATCCATATGGAGAACACAAACATTGTGTGTATTACAATGCTGAAGACGGCTCCACGATTAAATATTGCTTGCGGCATATTAATTCATCTGTACTTCAAGCACCATATACGAACTGTACAAGTAACGGCGAATATTGGTCTTTCGAAAATCTCTTAACCAACAATATTTTGCCGAGTACAATTTTAACATGGAGTTCAAGTATAGAAATGGCTGATAATTATGCTTATTTCTTTTACAATCGATCAGCAGCATTAAACAGAAATGATTTTCTTTGCAACTGTAGTCGACAAAGCTCGTTTGGGAAGTACTGCGAGTATGAGTTATTGTTTGGAGTTTCATCCGTTCCAGATTCGCTTCTTAGCCAATTTGAAATGAAGGAAGATTTTGAAGAAAATCAACGATGGAGCAAAATTGTTTGCTATGAGACGTTGTCATGTAATTCTGGTATGCTTTGTCTTGACTGGAGAAATATATGTGATAGACAACAACAATGTATGAATGGATTGGATGAAGAAAATTGTGATAAATTAGAATTTAATGAATGTGAAGAAGATGAATACAGATGCGGAAATGGAATGTGTATCAATGAAATTTATTTCTTAGACGGTAAGCGCTGTTTGTTATGTATTTCTCGAACAGACTAGTAATTAATTAATGTTTTGACAGGTGACCTAGATTGTATGGACCATAGTGACGACACAAATACAGTCCACTCTATTTGTTATAGTATACCGCACACATTTAATTGTGACGAATACAATGATCCAAGTGGATATTGGTCATGCGGAGACGGAGATTACGTACCATTTCCTTCAAGAGTGGTTTTTCAAACGTTTATTTCAGATCCTGTACTTTGTAGCAATTTTCGCAATGCTAATCATATGTGCGAAATAATGGTTGAATGAACAGCTTGGACAATGCCAAGTGGTATGTGTGAATTTGAACCAGGTTATGATGATCCACGCTTTAATATAACAACATTAAATGTCAAATCCATCGAAGCATGTTCCTATCTATTGAGATGTGCTTTGACAAGTGGTTTTGAACGTGATTGTCCATGCGGTAAGACGGTATCCTGCAGGCAACACATGCTTTCACTATGTCCTAATCCAGAAATGATTCTTTATCAAAATGTGGGATTGATTACACCCTATATCTTTTTCTACTACACTGCTCAAGACGAGTATACTCATAAGATACCAACAAGGCTTGCTGTATATGGAAGCATCCAATGCCGTGGTTATCTAGGAGAAGCAGTTAATGCAGAGGAATCAAGTTTTGTTTATGACATAGACTTTCTCAGGCATACAATGAAAGATCACGAGTTCTGTGAAGCTCCTTTCATAAAACGGAATACATCGTCTCTCGTAAAATTCTTTCCTTCAAATTGTTGGAATGATTCGTATACGTTTTCCAAAAAAAAGTACTACTCCACAAATGTATGCTGGAAGTCACATATGTGCCTTTCTTCGTATCGCATTAACGATGGAATTAATGATTGTCCACGCTCGGAAGATGAAAACAATAATGTATCAGTTAGTACATGCGGCAACATACAACGGCATCGCTTCCAGTGTTCATCTTCACAACCATCCTGTCTTCTTCTAGTCTTCCTTGCTAATGGGCAAGTAGAGTGTGACAATAAATTCGACTTGTTTGCCTATGGACACGGTACATTACTTTCTAATATTGAATGTGTCCACCGGGATGACGACGGTTGCCGTTTCTTGAGAACATATATTGAACAATCGTCAACAAATAAGACAACTGAATATGAATACATGGGTATAACTAACAGAGTACCATATCATGTTTATTGTAATAGTCATTGGGACATAAATCCACCAATTGATGAACACCCAGCATTCTGTAAAGAATGGGTATGTCCAAATAGATCGTTTCGATGTAAGTCCAATCAATGCATTCCAGTTGAATGGGTATGTGATGGCGAGTGGGATTGTAGTGATGCAAGTGACGAACAAGCTATTTTTGTTTACAATAATGTTTCAGATCTTAATCAGCACATTAAAAACTTAGAACAACTAATTAAAAGATGCAGAAGACGGTATGCAACGCAACCATTTTCCGATATTTGTAATGTTTCTATTGAGTTTCCATGTCTACTTACCAATGTGACAAATCCTACTGACATAGAAAACCACCGTCCATGTATTGATTTAACATTAATCGGAGATGGTATTTATCATTGTTATGGTGGTTTGGACGAACGAAACACCGAAAGCGGTTGTGACTCTCAAATGAAAGGATTTGAGTTTCGCTGCACTCATACTTCGGATTGTATCAGTCATATGTTCATCTGTACCATGCATTGTGATAATCAAGAAGACGACTATCCTCTGTGCTTTCACAAAAGTCAGAATGACACATGTAATGGTAAATATGATGTGATATGTATGAATGGTCAGTGTATTCCTAATGCTCGTTGTAACAAAACGAATGAATGTCCACATGGAGAAGATGAATATTGGTGTTCATTTCATGAAAATCAAATATATTATCGCATAGATAAACATGAAGAAAGTCAAAAGCTACCACATCAAATTAATTGGTTGTATTTTCCTTTCGAAGTCAATAATATATCACCATCATTCAATAAGGTTGACGTTCTTGTCAGTAGAGCTAAAAAGCTCATTGTTGACCAAAATGATATAAGCGGTGCCTTCGTTTGCAATCGAGGTTTAGCTATACGGGAAGGCAAAGATATACGATGTTTGTGTTCTGGTACGTACTATGGGAACAATTGTGAATATTTCAGTGATCGTATTACAATTATTACACACCTTAATTTAACTTATACCGATTATGAGCAACCAACCAAAAGAGGTATCGTTATCAAAGTTATTGTCTTTCTTTTATTCGAAGATGAAAAAGTAATTGATTTCTACGAATTCAATGGCATACCTGAACTCGAAAAAATATACAATACAAAACACAAATTTCAATTAGTCTATTCACGTTCAGAACAACTTTTAAAACACAAACAAGAACGGTATTTTAATCAAACAGATATTAGTAATAACCATCCATATTCTGTACGTTTTGAAGCATTTGAATTAACACATAACGAAACAAAAGCATTAGTCGCATGGAACTATCCGATTTATTTTGATTATTTACCCTCGTTTCGCTTGGCTACTCCTCTAAAGTTTCCTGAAACATATTTAAGCCGAAGTCATCATCCATGTATCAATATCACATGTAATTCAAATTCAATTTGTATACCATTCTTTAACAATCGAAAATGGTCATATTTATGTTCCTGTAAAAGTAGTTTCTATGGACATAATTGCCGATGGTTTGATCACAATTGTTCAAAATATTGTTCTTTTGGATCTATCTGTAAATCGAATGCCCGGCCACTGCTATCAGGCGGTAGACAACCATTGTGCATTTGTTCTCACAATCGGTTCGGTCCAAGATGCAATTTGAGATATGACGATTGTCAATCAAACCCTTGTCACAATAATGGAATTTGCTATCAAACCTTCAATCCTTCTGGAAAACGTCCATTTGTATGCATTTGTCATATGTATTTCTTTGGTGATTTCTGTCAGTATGAGAAAAGCTCAATCAATATTCACTTGGACACATTTTCTTTACCAAATACTATTCTCGCATCAGTTGTGCAATATTATGATGCTGATAATATCACTCTTAATCTAATTCTTCGCCAACAACAACTATTTATTGGAACTCCATCGCATATTCATTTTCGTCATACTCAAATCGAAGCACCTGTTCTTGGCATTCTAAAGCTTCATGTTAGTTTAACAAGTACAAATTATTATATTCTTTATGTCCAACCTCACACATCTGTTATTAATATTACATCAGCACCTGAATATTGTCCACATGCTTCGTTACTATTTCAAAAAAGTAAGCCTCCCATAAATAATACCACTTACTATGTTTAATATTATATATTTGTGTTTATCTTTGATTTCAGATGATGATGTACCACTTGTTTTCAAATATCATCGGATTTGTCAGAATAATTCATTTCAATTATGTTTTTATGATTCGACTTATTTCTGTATGTGTCAAGGCAGTCATATGCAAGCTTACTGTTTTAATTATGATCCTTTTCTTGATCGATGTGACTCTTGCTTGTCTAGTGGAAAATGTGTTCGAGGAGATCCTCAAGATTCTAATGATTTCAGTTGTTTATGTCCTTATTGCCACAGTGGTCGTCTATGTGAATTCAGCATGCAACCTTTTACCTTTACTTTGGATTCATTATTAGCATTTGATAGTATTTTCGTGCAACTTGTGTATATTATTATAGCTTTGGTTATTGTTATTACCGGTTTTTTGAATAATTTTCTTTCATTTGTTACTTTTCGACGTCCCGAACCACGCAAGACAAGTGTTGGTAATTGGCTTTTTTTTCTTACCCTTATCAATCAATGCACTTTATTCAGCCTTCTTATCAAATTTATACATATATTATTGGGATCCTCAATTGGATGGAGTAATGATGCATCATGCAAAGTAACAAACTACCTTTTAGCTGCTTTTACACGCGTTACTTTTTGGCTTGCAAGTTGGATTACTATTGATAGACTTCTGATGATTATTTTTCCTACTCTACTAATTATCAAGAGTCCTAATATTGCCATCTGGACAACCATAATAACTATAATTTCCATATTCGCAATGCATATCCATGATATCTTATTTTCAATTTCGATTCATCAACCTAATTCGACGATTTCATTGTGCGTTATTAATTTTGGAAATCAGTCTATTGTAGCTGGATATAATCGATTCAGTACACTTCTTCATTACATTGTTCCATTCTTTCTGCAAACTGTTTCAATCGTTCTTCTTATTGTTTTAATTGCTCGTCAACGAGCAAAAACGAAAGGACACCAGATAAAATTTAGTCAAATATTAAAAAACGAATTTATGGTACAAAAAGAACTTTTTCTAATACCGTCTATTATTGTTCTATCAGCATTACCCCAAGTAATTCTTTCATTTAGTTTGATATGTAAGCAATTGATTAGTTGGCAACGACATGCTCTCTTGGCTGCATGCCTTCTTTCATATATTCCTCAAATATTTAGTCTTCTTCTACATGTGATACCTTCTACGACTTATAAGAAGGAATTTTACAAAACATCCGTAGCTAGAATCGTGAAGTACTGGCTCGAATGAACACAAAATCACAGCATATGATTTTGCACGAGCTTTGTTGTTGTAATGCTAGAGCTTTCAATATTTCTATTCTAAATATAAAAGTCCTAAATCAATAGGCTTCATCACCGCTTGAAAGACTTCTACTTTATTTTGCAAGGCGCAGCTATCTGTGGAAGATATAAACTAACATCTTCCTGTTGTTACAAATATCATTTATGCTGCAACCATACTCCAAAATATTAAGTCATTAGATTTTTTTTGTATCTGTCGCAAAAATATTTAATCGAGTGTTCTCTTCAAAAAACTGAAGTAAATTTGGTTGTGAGTGTGGTTGTGTGGATGTGTTAAGTTACCACGAAACTGTAGTTGTTCGAATTTTCATTAAATTCTTGTTAAGTGGCAGAGTATCCGGGCGGATGTGGGTGAGTATGTCTCTTGTTATCCACGTCTACACTCACACACCACACGCTTTCAGAATGAAGTTAAAGACATTTCTTAATTAGACACGACTTTTGTGACACCCTGTTTCTTCTACAATAGTCAAACAATATCAACGAAAAACATTTATCTTGAACACATATCATTTAATATTTTTTTTTAATTATTTTTTGAATGACAATCAATCAATGTTTTATATTTATATTGTTCATATATTAACTTGTTGATATTTAATATAATAATACTTCAAAAAACAAAAACAATATAAAAATATATTCTTTAATGTTTATTGAAGGACATATAAATAGTTAATAAACATACTTCAAACTCTTTGAAATTATTCAATTGAATTCAATTAGTTTTAAAAATATTTGTTTTTGAATAGATTATTTATTTAAATAAACAATTCGAAACAATTCTATTTAATAAAATAGTATCTCTACAAAAAAATCTAAGGGTGTGGGTGCGGGTGTGGGTGTTGATTAAGAGAACACCCACACCCACACCCACACCCACACCCACACCCACCCACACCCACACCCACACCCACACCCAACCCACACCC